GGTTTAAAATGTCTGGGGTAGAGGACAAGGTTTAAAATGTCTGGGGTAGAGGACAAGGTTTAAAATGTGTGGGGTAGAGGACAAGGTTTAAAATGTCTGGGGTAGAGAACTAGGTTTAAAATGTCTGGGGTAGAGAACAAGGTTTAAAATGTCTGGGGTAGAGGACAAGGTTTAAAATGTCTGGGGTAGAGGACAAGGTTTAAAATGTCTGGGGTAGAGGACAAGGTTTAAAATGTCTGGGGTAGAGGACAAGGTTTAAAATGTCTGGAGTAGAGGACAAGGTTTAAAATGTCTGGGGAAGAGAACTAGGTTTAAAATGTGTGGGGTAGAGGACAAGGTTTAAAATGTCTGGGGTAGAGGACAAGGTTTAAAATGTGTGGGGTAGAGGACAAGGTTTAAAATGTCTGGGGTAGAGAACTAGGTTTAAAATGTCTGGGGTAGAGAACAAGGTTTAAAATGTCTGGGGTAGAGGACAAGGTTTAAAATGTCTGGGGTAGAGGACAAGGTTTAAAATGTCTGGGGTAGAGGACAAGGTTTAAAATGTCTGGGGTAGAGAACAAGGTTTAAAATGTCTGGGGTAGAGGACAAGGTTTAAAATGTCTGGGGTAGAGGACAAGGTTTAAAATGTCTGGGGTAGAGGACAAGGTTTAAAATGTCTGGGGTAGAGGACAAGGTTTAAAATGTCTGGGGTAGAGGACAAGGTTTAAAATGGGTAGAGGACAAGGTTTAAAATGTCTGGGGTAGAGGACAAGGTTTAAAATGTCTGGGGTAGAGGACAAGGTTTAAAATGTCTGGGGTAGAGGACAAGGTTTAAAATGTCTGGGGTAGAGGACAAGGTTTAAAATGTGTGGGGTAGAGGACAAGGATTAAAATGTCTGGGGTAGAGAACTAGGTTTAAAATGTCTGGGGTAGAGAACAAGGTTTAAAATGTCTGGGGTAGAGGACAAGGTTTAAAATGTCTGGGGTAGAGGACAAGGTTTAAAATGTCTGGGGTAGAGGACAAGGTTTAAAATGTCTGGGGTAGAGAACAAGGTTTAAAATGTCTGGGGTAGAGGACAAGGTTTAAAATGTCTGGGGTAGAGGACAAGGTTTAAAATGTGTGGGGTAGAGGACAAGGTTTAAAATGTCTGGGGTAGAGAACTAGGTTTAAAATGTCTGGGGTAGAGGACAAGGTTTAAAATGTCTGGGGTAGAGGACAAGGTTTAAAATGTGTGGGGTAGAGGACAAGGTTTAAAATGTCTGGGGTAGAGAACTAGGTTTAAAATGTCTGGGGTAGAGAACAAGGTTTAAAATGTCTGGGGTAGAGGACAAGGTTTAAAATGTCTGGGGTAGAGGACAAGGTTTAAAATGTCTGGGGTAGAGGACAAGGTTTAAAATGTCTGGGGTAGAGAACAAGGTTTAAAATGTCTGGGGTAGAGAACAAGGTTTAAAATGTCTGGGGTAGAGGACAAGGTTTAAAATGTCTGGGGTAGAGGACAAGGTTTAAAATGTCTGGGGTAGAGGACAAGGTTTAAAATGTCTGGGGTAGAGAACAAGGTTTAAAATGTCTGGGGTAGAGGACAAGGTTTTAAATGTCTGGGGTAGAGGACAAGGTTTAAAATGTCTGGGGTAGAGGACAAGGTTTAAAATGTCTGGGGTAGAGGACAAGGTTTAAAATGTCTGGGGTAGAGGACAAGGTTTAAAATGTCTGGGGTAGAGAACAAGGTTTAAAATGTCTGGGGTAGAGGACAAGGTTTAAAATGGGTAGAGGACAAGGTTTAAAATGTCTGGGGTAGAGAACAAGGTTTAAAATGTCTGGGGTAGAGGACAAGGTTTAAAATGGGTAGAGGACAAGGTTTAAAATGTCTGGGGTAGAGAACAAGGTTTAAAATGTCTGGGGTAGAGGACAAGGTTTAAAATGGGTAGAGGACAAGGTTTAAAATGTCTGGGGTAGAGGACAAGGTTTAAAATGTCTGGGGTAGAGGACAAGGTTTAAAATGTCTGGGGTAGAGGACAAGGTTTAAAATGGGTAGAGGACAAGGTTTAAAATGTCTGGGGTAGAGGACAAGGTTTAAAATGTCTGGGGTAGAGAACAAGGTTTAAAATGTCTGGGGTAGAGGACAAGGTTTAAAATGTCTGGGGTAGAGAACAAGGTTTAAAATGTCTGGGGTAGAGGACAAGGTTTAAAATGTCTGGGGTAGAGAACAAGGTTTAAAATGTCTGGGGTAGAGAACAAGGTTTAAAATGTCTGGGGTAGAGGACAAGGTTTAAAATGTCTGGGGTAGAGGACAAGGTTTAAAATGTCTGGGGTAGAGGACAAGGTTTAAAATGTCTGGGGTAGAGGACAAGGTTTAAAATGTCTGGGGTAGAGAACAAGGTTTAAAATGTCTGGGGTAGAGGACAAGGTTTAAAATGTCTGGGGTAGAGGACAAGGTTTAAAATGTCTGGGGTAGAGGACAAGGTTTAAAATGTCTGGGGTAGAGGACAAGGTTTAAAATGTCTGGGGTAGAGGACAAGGTTTAAAATGTCTGGGGTAGAGAACAAGGTTTAAAATGTCTGGGGTAGAGGACAAGGTTTAAAATGTCTGGGGTAGAGAACAAGGTTTAAAATGTCTGGGGTAGAGGACAAGGTTTAAAATGTCTGGGGTAGAGGACAAGGTTTAAAATGTCTGGGGTAGAGGACAAGGTTTAAAATGTCTGGGGTAGAGGACAAGGTTTAAAATGTCTGGACTAGAGGACAAGGTTTAAAATGTCTGGGGTAGAGGACAAGGTTTAAAATGTCTGGGGTAGAGGACAAGGTTTAAAATGTCTGGGGTAGAGAACAAGGTTTAAAATGTCTGGGGTAGAGGACAAGGTTTAAAATGTCTGGGGTAGAGGACAAGGTTTAAAATGTCTGGGGTAGAGGACAAGGTTTAAAATGTCTGGGGTAGAGGACAAGGTTTAAAATGTCTGGGGTAGAGGACAAGGTTTAAAATGTCTGGGGTAGAAAACAAGGTTTAAAATGTCTGGGGTAGAGGACAAGGTTTAAAATGTCTGGGGTAGAGGACAAGGTTTAAAATGTCTGGGGTAGAGGACAAGGTTTAAAATGTCTGGGGTAGAGGACAAGGTTTAAAATGTCTGGGGTAGAGGACAAGGTTTAAAATGTCTGGGGTAGAGAACAAGGTTTAAAATGTCTGGGGTAGAGGACAAGGTTTAAAATGTCTGGGGTAGAGGACATGGTTTAAAATGTCTGGGGTAGAGGACAAGGTTTAAAATGTCTGGGGTAGAGAACAAGGTTTAAAATGTCTGGGGTAGAGGACAAGGTTTAAAATGTCTGGGGTAGAGGACAAGGTTTAAAATGTCTGGGGTAGAGGACAAGGTTTAAAATGTCTGGGGTAGAGGACAAGGTTTAAAATGTCTGGGGTAGAGGACAAGGTTTAAAATGTCTGGGGTAAAGGACAAGGTTTAAAATGGGTAGAGGACAAGGTTTAAAATGGGTAGAGGACAAGGTTTAAAATGTCTGGGGTAGAGGACAAGGTTTAAAATGGGTAGAGGACAAGGTTTAAAATGTCTGGGGTAGAGGACAAGGTTTAAAATGGGTAGAGGACAAGGTTTAAAATGTCTGGGGTAGAGGACAAGGTTTAAAATGTCTGGGGTAGAGGACAAGGTTTAAAATGTCTGGGGTAGAGAACAAGGTTTAAAATGTCTGGGGTAGAGGACAAGGTTTAAAATGTCTGGGGTAGAGGACAAGGTTTAAAATGTCTGGGGTAGAGGACATGGTTTAAAATGTGTGGGGTAGAGGACAAGGTTTAAAATGTCTGGGGTAGAGGACAAGGTTTAAAATGTCTGGGGTAGAGAACAAGGTTTAAAATGTCTGGGGTAGAGGACAAGGTTTAAAATGTCTGGGGTAGAGGACAAGGTTTAAAATGTCTGGGGTAGAGGACAAGGTTTAAAATGTCTGGGGTAGAGGACAAGGTTTAAAATGGGTAGAGGACAAGGTTTAAAATGTGTAGAGGACAAGGTTTAAAATGTCTGGGGTAGAGGACAAGGTTTAAAATGGGTAGAGGACAAGGTTTAAAATGTCTGGGGTAGAGGACAAGGTTTAAAATGTCTGGGGTAGAGGACAAGGTTTAAAATGTCTGGGGTAGAGGACAAGGTTTAAAATGTCTGGGGTAGAGGACAAGGTTTAAAATGTCTGGGGTAGAGAACAAGGTTTAAAATGTCTGGGGTAGAGGACAAGGTTTAAAATGGGTAGAGGACAAGGTTTAAAATGTCTGGGGTAGAGGACAAGGTTTAAAATGTCTGGGGTAGAGGACAAGGTTTAAAATGTCTGGGGTAGAGAACAAGGTTTAAAATGTCTGGGGTAGAGGACAAGGTTTAAAATGTCTGGGGTAGAGGACAAGGTTTAAAATGTCTGGGGTAGAGGACATGGTTTAAAATGTGTGGGGTAGAGGACAAGGTTTAAAATGTCTGGGGTAGAGGACAAGGTTTAAAATGTCTGGGGTAGAGAACAAGGTTTAAAATGTCTGGGGTAGAGGACAAGGTTTAAAATGTCTGGGGTAGAGGACAAGGTTTAAAATGTCTGGGGTAGAGGACAAGGTTTAAAATGTCTGGGGTAGAGGACAAGGTTTAAAATGGGTAGAGGACAAGGTTTAAAATGTGTAGAGGACAAGGTTTAAAATGTCTGGGGTAGAGGACAAGGTTTAAAATGGGTAGAGGACAAGGTTTAAAATGTCTGGGGTAGAGGACAAGGTTTAAAATGTCTGGGGTAGAGGACAAGGTTTAAAATGTCTGGGGTAGAGGACAAGGTTTAAAATGTCTGGGGTAGAGGACAAGGTTTAAAATGTCTGGGGTAGAGGACAAGGTTTAAAATGTCTGGGGTAGAGGACAAGGTTTAAAATGTCTGGGGTAGAGGACAAGGTTTAAAATGTCTGGGGTAGAGGACAAGGTTTAAAATGTCTGGGGTAGAGGACAAGGTTTAAAATGTCTGGGGTAGAGAACAAGGTTTAAAATGTCTGGGGTAAAGTTAAGCTATAAGATTACCATTATTTTTGCAGTAGTACAACAGCTGATCTTGACTGTCATTGAACATAGTAGCAATCCTGTAACAAAATGAAGATGAGACTAGACATCAATCTGTCACATGCAGGTGAGATGTAGACTACTCATTCAAATGTTACACCTTGCAGCAAAAGGCATCAATCAGCCAGAAAAAAGTGACATCTACTAACAAAGCATGGAGTGACACTTACTAACAAAGCATGGAGAGACAAAGCATGGAGTGACACTTACTGACAAAGCATGGAGTGACACTTACTGACAAAGCATGGAGTGACACTTACTGAAAAAGCATGGAGTGACACTTACTGAAAAAGCATGGAGTGACACTTACTGACATAGCATGGAGTGACACTTACTGAAAAAGCATGGAGTGACACTTACTGACAAAGCATGGAGTGACACTTACTGACAAAGCATGGAGTGACATTTACTGACAAAGCATGGAGTGACATTTACTTACAAAGCATGGAGTGACACTTACTGACAAAGCATGGAGTGACACTTACTGACAAAGCATGGAGTGACACTTACTGACAAAGCATAGAGTGACACTTACTGACAAAGCATGGAGTGACACTTACTGACAAAGCATGGAGTTATTGTACAAGAAACTGCTGCCCACTGCCATGACGACCTGCTGAGCATCAACCTTGACCTCTCTTTCAACCAGACACATCTTCTGTGCTGGCACCATTTCTGGACACATCAGGCTGAACTTGGCCTTGACCTGGTCAAAGTGTGGGCTGATGCTGGAGTAGATGCTGGTCTGGCAGCCGATGGTGTGGTTGGTGGCACACGCCAAGGCGTACTTCAGACTCCTAGAGGTCACAAGGTCAAGCATTTCAAAGGTTTCACAAAGGCAATCATTTCAAAGGTTTCACAAATGTGAGCGGGTGAACGGTTTGTTTTATTATTGTATGGTGTGCAAGCATTGAACTGGACAGTGGCTACGGGTTTTGGCCCAGCAGTATATAAGGCTGAGTGACCACTTGGGTGGTTCTTTTTTTACCCCATAGCCAGCAGGGAGAATGTAAATCTGAACTCAGCGGAGCGGTTTCGCAGTGGGCGCTTTGTGCATCACGTGCATGGAGGTTGCATTTGCAACGTGGCTTGGTGTTTGATTAGGTGTTTGTGTAGTATGTTTGTTTGTATGTTTGCTGTGTTTGTTAAGATCATTTGTTTTGTTTTATAGTTGTAGATCTAGCATGTTTGAATTTGAGATAAGGTTTACGTTTGACAGTTCAATTTTTTTAATGTAAATAACATTGATAAGCAGATTTATTTTTTGTGCTTAGATTAAGGTTAGAGTTTAACCACCGTGGGTTTAGCACAGTTGCACTGACGCCCATGGGATGATTAGCCATGGGAGTAGAGTTAGGCATTACTTTAGGGGTTTTCACACACACACACACCCCTCCCCCCCCCCCCCCCCCCCCCCATCAGGGCTTAAACAAATTAAGTAGGAATAATTTGAAAGATGTTGAAATATTTGAAGTAAAAAACCTACCTGCAAATAGAATATCTAATACTTGACATAGTTCTGTTCACACTTGAGGCGTTGTTCAGCGTTTCATTCTTTAAAGCTGTCTCATGCTCTTGGAGGAAACTTTCAGCATTCATCAAACACATACCAGCATAGTGAACATTGCAGGAGGGTGGGGTGCAAATGGTTTGCTGTGTGTTCTTCATTTGAGATATGAGCAGTGACAGAGTGGAGCGTACATCCAGGGAGCAATAGCCCACTTTTTGACTGATGTCTTCTACAGCTTGACTTACACTTCTGAAAACAGATGTCGACTTTAGAAATCAAAAGTGTTTTAAAAGGCTTGAGGAGTGTTGTGACTTACACTTCTGAAAACAGATGTCGACTTTAGAAATCAAAAGTGTTTTAAAAGGCTTGAGGAGTGTTGTGACTTACACTTCTGAAAACAGATGTCGACTTTAGAAATCAAAAGTGTTTTAAAAGGCTTGAGGAGTGTTGTGACTTACACTTCTGAAAACAGATGTCGACTTTAGAAATCAAAAGTGTTTTAAAAGGCTTGAGGAGTGTTGTGACTTACACTTCTGAAAACAGATGTCGACTTTAGAAATCAAAAGTGTTTTAAAAGGCTTGAGGAGTGTTGTGACTTACACTTCTGAAAACAGATGTCGACTTTAGAAATCAAAAGTGTTTTAAAAGGCTTGAGGAGTGTTGTGACTTACACTTCTGAAAACAGATGTCGACTTTAGAAATCAAAAGTGTTTTAAAAGGCTTGAGCAGTGTTGTGACTTACACTTCTGAAAACAGATGTCGACTTTAGAAATCAAAAGTGTTTTAAAAGGCTTGAGGAGTGTTGTGACTTACACTTCTGAAAACAGATGTCGACTTTAGAAATCAAAAGTGTTTTAAAAGGCTTGAGCAGTGTTGTGACTTATACTTCTGAAAACAGATGACAACTTTAGAAATCAAAAGTGTTTTAAAAGGCTTGAGGAGTGACCTCTAAGTACAGGCTTCACCACTTTCTGAACAAAGATGTTCTACATTTGGTTGTTCCTTGATGTTTTTCTTGAAACTTAAGCAGCCAGCAGTATTTAACATTTCTTTAAACATCTAACATTCCGTATCTAACTGGGTATAGAAGAAAATGTCTCAACTAAGTGGGTATAGAAGAAAATGTCTCAACTAACTGGGTATAGAAGAAAATGTCTCAACTAAGTGGGTATAGAAGAAAATGTCTCAACTAACTGGGTATTGAAGAAAATGTCTCAACTAAGTGGGTATAGAAGAAAATGTCTCAACTAACTGGGTATAGAAGAAAATGTCTCAACTAACTGGGTATAGAAGAAAATGTCTCAACTAACTGGGTATTGAAGAAAACAATGTCTCAACTAACTGGGTATAGAAGAAAATGTCTCAACTAACTGGGTATAGAAGAAAATGTCTCAACTAACTGGGTATAGAAGAAAATGTCTCAACTAACTGGGTATTGAAGAAAATGTCTCAACTAACTGGGTATAGAAGAAAACGTCTCAACTAACTGGGTATAGAAGAAAATGTCTCAACTAACTGGGTATAGAAGAAAATGTCTCAACTAACTGGGTATAGAAGAAAATGTCTCAACTAACTGGGTATAGAAGAAAATGTCTCAACTAACTGGGTATAGAAGAAAATGTCTCAACTAACTGGGTATAGAAGAAAATGTCTCAACTAACTGGGTATTGAAGAAAATGTCTCAACTAACTGGGTATTGAAGAAAATGTCTCAACTAACTGGGTATAGTAGAAAATGTCTCAACTAACTGGGTATAGAAGAAAATGTCTCAACTAACTGGGTATAGAAGAAAACGTCTCAACAAGAGTTACCTGCAAGCTGAGGAATCCTCCCAATTAAGTTCTAGTCGCAAGATGGCCAGAACTGAATCCCTTAGGTCTGCCAGGTGGCACTGGGCAACTGAAAGAAAAGATGGACATTGTGGACAGCTTTCTAACTACACAGAGGAACTTAAGGAAGAATTTTCAGCATCTACCAATATTGTGTGAACTCAGTGGTGCAATAAACTACAAGACAATTTCAATAGAAAAATACCTGCAACATTTTCAAAGCCCAGTCCAAGTTCAGATCCGTCTATGAAACTCATATCTTTAAAATAAACATGAAATATCAATACTACAAACCTGAACTAATAAGATGTAATTGGATAAGTAGGCCTAATTATTTCTAACTATGACAAATTACTCATCAAACGAGGGAGTTGAAACAAAGAATTTCTTTAAATAACCATCTAGTATGCCTGGCATTAAAGGGGGTAGGTGCTGGAAAAAGAAAACTTCTTAATTAATGAGCCTGGTCTATTTCTTTGTGTGTATGATAGGGTATGATAGGGTACTTAAAGGAAGATGTTTGCATGCAAGGTTTCAAGGTTCAAACACTTACATATATTTTGATCATATCATTGATCTTTCTTTAACTAACTCTAATAAAGTCAGCTGACTAATTTTTGTAACTATAAACACTCTAGAAATTTATTTATTTTAAATTTGTGATGGTGAAATACAATTTAAATTAATGCTAAATTTACTGGTATTTTTTTAATACAAAATTTTGAAAATTTGAAAAACAAATATTTTCTGTTTTTTTTCCTGAGTCCTCTTAAACTTTGGTGTAAATTAAAGTTTGTTGACAATACTAACACAACTGTTTTGTGAAAATACCAAATGAAAAATGTGTTTATCTTGTGAAAATACCAAATGGAAATGTGTGTTTATCTTGTGAAAATACCAAATGGAAATGTGTGCTTATCTTGTGAAAATACCAAATGGAAATGTGTGTTTATCTTGTGAAAATACCAAATGGAAATGTGTGTTTATCTTGTAAAAATAGCAAATGAAAAAGTTTTGTTAACCTTCCATTGTGGAGGCACAAAGCAGCCTGGACATGGTGACAAACTCAGCAAGGTGCATCATTCGAGAGAAGCGCAAGACAGAAATTTTGGACGAAGATTCATACATGTCCGCATCAACTTCCATTGTGTTGCAGATATCAGAAATGTTCTTGGCTAGTTTGATGGAGTTTTTCAAATTTCTAATGAAAAAGAAAATGTGGTTAGTAAAGCAATAAAATAATCAGGGGGGGGGGGGGGGTCATGGTCTTAAACTTTTAGACCAACAAACAAAAAACTTGTGACAACAACAGTAGAACAAAATAAATATATAATAACTAACAATAATAGCACCACACAGTAGTTGACTAGACAGAACAAAATAAAAATGTAATAACTAACAATAGTTGACTAGACAGAAGAATTATTTCAAAATATCTTGTTTACTTCAATTTGAATTATCTAGGATGGGGGGGGGGGGGGGGGGGGGGGAGTTGTTGGGAAGGACATGCAAGTTTTATTGTTTTTTGTGAGTTTACTTTTGAAAGATGAATGCTTATATTTTAAACTAGCAAAGACCTACAGGCAAAGTTCTGGTTTCTGGTTTGTCTGTTGAGTGAATACTTGAAACAGGTTCAAAACGATGGCGCTCTCTGCTTGAATCAAGGCTTCTGAGCTGCACTGGAACCCTGTGACATAAAGCAAGTAGTGAAGCGCCATTAGGAGAACATTAATTAGTGAGACAAAAAAAACAACAATTAGTGAGACTTAACATTAAGGAAAAAATAATTCATTTTTCTAAGGAAATTCTAGGGGGGAGGGCAATTTCTCCTCTCCATCCAGTTAACTTAGCCAGCCACTACTTACCTCCCCTACTGTTAACTTTACCTGGCCACTACTTACCTCCCCTACTGTTAACTTAGCCAGCCACTACTTACCTCCCCTCCCTCCAGTTAACTTAGCCAGCCACTACTTACCTCCCCTCCAGTTAACTTAGCCAGCCACTACTTACCTCCCCTCCAGTTAACTTTACCTGTCCACTACTTACCTCCCCTACTGTTAACTTTACCTGGCCACTACTTACCTCCCCTACTGTTAACTTAACCTGGCCACTACTTACCTCCCCTACAGTTAACATTACCTGTCCACTACTTACCTCCCCTACTGTTAACTTTACCTGGCCACTACTTACCTCCCTCTGAGTGTAGCATCATGTAGGAGTACCAAGCAGTGAAGTCCCATTGCAGGTCAGTGAACTCAGCTGGAACAAATGTTAACATCACACAAGTTAACATCACACACGTTAACATCACAAACTTGTTAACATCACAAGCTTGTTAACATCACACACGTCACAAACTTGTTAACATCACACAGTTGTTAACATCACACACTTGTTAACATCACACACATGTTAACATCACAAACTTGTTAACATCATAAACTTGTTAGCATTACGACGATGTTAACATCACAAACTTGTTAACATCATAAACTTGTTAGCATTACGACGATGTTAACATCACAAACTTGTTAACATCATAAACTTGTTAGCATTACGACGATGTTAACATCACAAACTTGTTAACATCATAAACTTGTTAGCATTACGACGATGTTAACATCACAAACTTGTTAACATCATAAACTTGTTAGCATTATGACAATGTTAACATCACAAACTTGCCTGTTCTAAATATTTCTTTACTTTTAAATTATATCTGGCACTGACATTTGACTATTTTAATTAACTGTAGAATGTCTACAACTACAGTGTCCAGTGTTATAAGGACACTTATCTGTGCCTATTTCTATGTTCTTCAAGTTCATGGGTAATTTCATTCCATTTTTCTTCAGTGCTCCGTACCATTATCGTCTACCTTTCCTGGGTTATTTCCTAGAGTGCCCCCTTCATCATTCACAATAATCCTCATCCTAGCCAAGCTATTGTGTGTGCAATTTATACTTAGCAACATAGTAGTGAGATTGTTATTTATTTCTTGACAAACTTGGTGTTGTGAAGGAAAATCTGGCACTTTTCTAAAAGTCAAAATTGTATTTGTTTTGTTCATGAATAAAAGTTTTTGACAGTGTGTGATAAATCAATGATTACCTTTCTGGAAGTAAGAGAGCCATTCTGTGTAGCTCCAGCTGACACCTGAAAGAGGAATTTATCAAGTCACATAAACAATGCAATTAATCAACTGATAATTGTGCTCATTATCTGATGATTAATGATATGATAAATAAGGTATATAATGATGTGATGATTGAGGTAATTTATAATCTGAAGATTGAGTAAGCCTCCTTAATAATCTGATGATTACGGTAATTAATGATAATGATCTGATGATTAAGGTAGGCCTACGTAATAATCTGATGATTAAGATAATTAATTATCTACAGCTCACCATCTTGGTAGTAGAACATGTAGGACCAGGCTGTATGGTTCCATTTGACACCTGCAATTTTTTGGGCTAATTAAAGTGGAGCATCAACGCTAATTTAAAGGGTATGGGACATCTAGATAGTTAAGTGATAGGGTTCATTGGGCTCATCTAATTGAGGCCTATTCATTCACACAAGGTAACACAGAGATACAATATGTTTATTATTTTTAAGTGCTATCACACTAGTCATTTACTCCTGACATACACCAGTCATTGACTCCTAACATACACAAGTCATTGACTCCTAACATACATTAGATATTGCCTTACAAATGAGACACTGACTCCTACTAAAACTAATAGAATGGGTGGAACACTACAGAAAAATCTTAAGGTGAAAACCATTGGATAAAAATCAGGGAAATGGAAACTTGTGTTACTTCATTGTATAAACATGGGAAAACATAAAACAGCTCCCAAGTAAATGTTCCTAAGAGAATTTATCTTAAATCAAATCAAGATAAAGCAGTAGACCCAAAATCATCTGGCATAGAGAGATATTGAAAAAAAAAGTAAAAAACTATTGGAACAGGTTGGAAAGAAATAGATAAAAATGATGTAGGACAGGAAAATGGAAGGATTTTAAAATGGTTTGTGCGCCACTGCGAGTTAAAAATGTGCAGGAGAAAAAGTGAAAGAGACTATCTAAAGACCAAATGTGCAAACAGTTAAGTGACTACCTGTTGATGTGTTGGTCCAAGAAGTGATGTTCTCTGCTATATGTGGCAAGGAAAAAATAACACACATATATATATATATATATATATATATATATATATATATATATATATATATATATATATATATATATATATAAGTACATAGGGCTAGACCTATAGATATATATTCATTTTTAAATTTATTTTCATAAAGTAAAATATGTGCATCAATTTATTTGCAATAAATAATAAATCACTTTAAGCCTTCAATATTAATATGATAACACTGATGGGCCTCTATGTCCCAGATTTAGTGAGAATCTGAGAGGAAATGAACAAATTAATTTTATTTAATTACTTGTCGCGATTTAGTGAGAATCTAAGAGGAGATAAAGAAATTTACTTACTTGTCCAGTTGTAGTAATACTCTGTTTTGTTATGCAATTCTTTAATTAGTAACAAAGGGAGAGAGAAACAAACACACTTTAATATATAGAATTCATAGATATCTAATATCTATGTATCTAGTATCTAGATCTTTGTAGTTTGTAGTCTTTGTGTATTACTAACTAAAGGTACAAATACTTATCTGGATATAGACCTATAATATAAATTTAAAATTATCTGCAACACCAGTGCAATATAATTTTTGTAACTTTCAAAACATAGATCTAAATCTTCCTTAAAATGTGAAATAATTACTAAAATGTAATGAGGCACCTTCTTTTCACATTACTAGCCTCGACCGATTTTCATTTTACTTACCTAACTAAAGTTTACTAAGTCTAAGGCGATGGATTACCGCCAAATAGTCTAAACTAATAACTCACATTGATTTCTTCAAAGATTTTCAATTTTTAAATTTATATAGTAGATTCTATATAGATTCTACATCCATGTAGATTCTAGATATCTAGATCTAAATCTAGAAAGGATTAGATAAGGATTTAACTATTCTTAACCAATTAGATCAATGGTTCTCAACTTTTTTGGAGATTCCAAACCCTACGAGACTACCAGTTTCATAAACGCATTCACCGAACCTATCTGATCGTCTGCACTGAGAAAATCCGATCGTGAATCATATGGTATGAGTCGGGTGTTTGTCTTGACCTCTGCCGAACCCCTAAAACTGACTTAGCGAAACCCTGAGGTTCGATCAAACCCAGTTTAAGAACCACTGCATTGGATTCTACTCATTAAAATTTCAAATTTTGTTCCGCCGTTAACTTAAAATTTGAATTCGCCTACGTTAAGCTAGGTATTTACCGTATGTAGATCTAGTAGAGTTTATCACGACAACGCTTGTTCCTGAAAATTGACACACAAAAAAAGTGGAAATTTGAATATTCTATCTATAGTAGGCTTAGAATGATTAATGGAGTCTAGTCTAGATATTTGGTAGATATCGAATCTAGAAATCTAGATATAATTATAGTCAATATGAAATACTGAACTCCGTAGAAACTCACCATTTTCCGTGTAATGGGTTGTGAAATTTGAACCTGAAAGTGTAAAGCGTAGTATATAATATAAAATTATAAAAGTTTACGTGTGAGACAAGTTCAATGTCTACAGTCTACAGGCTAGGTAAAGAGTAGCCAAGGGGTATTGACTGACCAGTCTATCTTTAATGGTTACACAACGAAAGTAAGATCGGCTGGTCATTGTGCTGACCCCACAATCCATACAAAGACAAGTGCATTCAGGTCAGTGGCTTGTCTTACTTCATCAGTGTTTTTTTTAGACCTTTTTTCTGGGCGGGAGGGGGGGGGGGGATGGTTTAGTTATATACTTTCGATTTGTTGAATTTTTCTTTAAATACGATATTTTTTCCAAAATTTTGTCTGAACTCTGTCAACATGGAGTATTTTAATCAATTATTATTATAATTTATTAAAACAGTTTTCTAAAACGCGAAATAAGTTAATAACGGCTAAAATTCGTCTTCTAACATTTCTTATTTATAATGCAAAAGTCACACCATCTGAAACCCCCCACCCCCCTCATCACACTCGGAGGGGGGAAGGGGGATCCGTAATTTTATGACGTCATTTAATTCATGGACGACCGCTAAAAAGTCACGCTAATAAATGTCACGCTTTTGCAATTTTTCGGTGTTTTTTTTTTAATGAGTGTATTTAATTAACCCGTCAAGTGATGAGTATTGTAGCATTTTTTTAATGACCTTTTACATTGTGGTCTTCTGACCTTAAAATGACCTGTGACATTGTGGTCCCCCAACCTTAAAATGACTTGGATGAACGAAAATGACACAATGTCAATTTCTGTCAGTAGGTAGCCGCTTGGACACAAGCAGTCCATGACATGTGGCAGACAGTGCGTGTTTCTAGAAGAATTCACGAGACATCTAGCAGACATTTTTTCTGATCAAATGACATCTAGCAGGGATTTTTAAAAATCAAATGACCACTGGCAGTGGAAAAAACTTTTGACCAAATGATATGTGCAGGGAAAAAACTTTTGATCAAATGACTTTACCTGTGGAGTAACTTGTTGAATTGACAGCGTCTGCAAAAAAAAATATGGGATTGAAGAATTAAAAATTGAAGATAATAAAACTTTGAAGTAAAGGTAATTAGATTAAAATCGGAGGTGAAAGACTTATAATTGAAGGTAAATAAATATAATTAACTTAGAAAGGTATTTTAATGAGAATTAAAATAACTAAATTAGAAAGGTAACTTAATGAGAATTAAATGGAATTGACGTAGATTATTGAAGGTAATTAATTTTGTGTTGATTGCAATTAACCCAGGACTGAAGGGAAATGTTCGCGTTAAATTCTTCGACAGTGCCAGCTTAGAAGTGACATAGGCATACACCCCCCCCCCCCCGCGCCCGACCCCCCCCCCCCTACACACACACACACGACTACGTCACCGCTGCTTATCGATTCTGAGAGTTGTATGAGGACCTAATGATTGTGACAGTTGTATGAGGACCTAATGATTGTGACAGTTGTATGAGGACCTAATGATTGTGACAGTTGTATGAGGACCTAATGATTGTATGAGGACCTAATGATTGTGACAGTTGTATGAGGACCTAATGCTTGTATGACGACCTAATGATTGTGACAGTTGTATGAGGACCTAATGATTGTGACAGTTGTATGAGGACCTAATGATTGTGACGGTTGTATGAGGACCTAATGATTGTGACGGTTGTATGAGGACCTAATGATTGTGACAGTTGTATGAGGACCTAATGATTGTGACAGTTGTATGAGGACCTAATGATTGTGACGGTTGTATGAGGACCTAATGATTGTGACGGTTGTATGAGGACCTAATGATTGTGATAGTTGTATGACGACCTAATGATTGTATGAGGACCTAATGATTGTGACAGTTGTATGAGGACCTAATGATTGTGACGGTTGTATGAGGACCTAATGATTGTGACGGTTGTATGAGGACCTAATGATTGTGATAGTTGTATGACGACCTAATGATTGTATGAGGACCTAATGATTGTGACAGTTGTATGAGGACCTAATGATTGTGAAAGTTGTATGAGGACCTAATGATTGTGACGGTTGTATGAGGACCTAATGATTGTGACGGTTGTATGACGACCTAATGATTGTGATAGTTGTATGACGACCTAATGATTGTAACAGTTGTATGAGGACCTAATGATTGTATGACGACCTAATGATTGTGACAGTTGTATGACGACCTAATGATTGTGACAGTTGTATGAGGACCTAATGATTGTGACAGTTGTATGAGGACCTAGTGATTGTGACAGTTGTATGACGACCTAATGATTGTGACAGTTGTATGACGACCTAATGATTGTGACAGTTGTATGACGACCTAATGATTGTGACAGTTGTATGATGACCTAATGATTGTGACAGTTGTATGACGACCTAATGATTGTGACAGTTGTATGAGGACCTAATGATTGTGACAGTTGTATGAGGACCTAATGATTGTATGACGGCCTAATGATTGTGACAGTTGTATGAGGACCTAATGATTGTGACAGTTGTATGAGGACCTAATGATTGTGACAGTTGTATGAGGACCTAATGATTGTGACAGTTGTATGACGACCTAATGATTGTGACAGTTGTATGACGACCTAATGATTGTGACAGTTGTATGATGACCTAATAATTGTGACAGTTGTATGAGGACCTAATGATTGTGACAGTTGTATGAGGACCTAATGATTGTGACAGTTGTATGAGGACCTAATGATTGTGACAGTTGTATGATGACCTAATAATTGTGACAGTTGTATGAGGACCTAATGATTGTGACAGTTGTATGAGGACCTAATGATTGTGACAGTTGTATGAGGACCTAATGATTGTGACAGTTGTATGAGGACCTAATGATTGTATGAGGACCTAATGATTGTGACAGTTGTATGAGGACCTAATGCTTGTATGACGACCTAATGATTGTGACAGTTGTATGAGGACCTAATGATTGTGACAGTTGTATGAGGACCTAATGATTGTGACGGTTGTATGAGGACCTAATGATTGTGACGGTTGTATGAGGACCTAATGATTGTGACAGTTGTATGAGGACCTAATGATTGTGACAGTTGTATGAGGACCTAATGATTGTGACGGTTGTATGAGGACCTAATGATTGTGACGGTTGTATGAGGACCTAATGATTGTGATAGTTGTATGACGACCTAATGATTGTATGAGGACCTAATGATTGTGACAGTTGTATGAGGACCTAATGATTGTGACGGTTGTATGAGGACCTAATGATTGTGACGGTTGTATGAGGACCTAATGATTGTGATAGTTGTATGACGACCTAATGATTGTATGAGGACCTAATGATTGTGACAGTTGTATGAGGACCTAATGATTGTGAAAGTTGTATGAGGACCTAATGATTGTGACGGTTGTATGAGGACCTAATGATTGTGACGGTTGTATGACGACCTAATGATTGTGATAGTTGTATGACGACCTAATGATTGTAACAGTTGTATGAGGACCTAATGATTGTATGACGACCTAATGATTGTGACAGTTGTATGACGACCTAATGATTGTGACAGTTGTATGAGGACCTAATGATTGTGACAGTTGTATGAGGACCTAGTGATTGTGACAGTTGTATGACGACCTAATGATTGTGACAGTTGTATGACGACCTAATGATTGTGACAGTTGTATGACGACCTAATGATTGTGACAGTTGTATGATGACCTAATGATTGTGACAGTTGTATGACGACCTAATGATTGTGACAGTTGTATGAGGACCTAATGATTGTGACAGTTGTATGAGGACCTAATGATTGTATGACGGCCTAATGATTGTGACAGTTGTATGAGGACCTAATGATTGTGACAGTTGTATGAGGACCTAATGATTGTGACAGTTGTATGAGGACCTAATGATTGTGACAGTTGTATGACGACCTAATGATTGTGACAGTTGTATGACGACCTAATGATTGTGACAGTTGTATGATGACCTAATAATTGTGACAGTTGTATGAGGACCTAATGATTGTGACAGTTGTATGAGGACCTACTGATTGTATGAGGACCTAATGATTGTGACAGTTGTATGAGGACCTAATGATTGTGACAGTTGTATGAGGACATACTGATTGTGACAGTTGTATGAGGACCTAATGATTGTGACAGTTGTATGAGGACCTAATGATTGTGACAGTTGTATGACGACCTAATGATTGTGACAGTTGTATGAGGACCTAATGATTGTGACAGTTGTATGACGACCTAATGATTGTGACAGTTGTATGACGACCTAATGATTGTGACAGTTGTATGATGACCTAATAATTGTGACAGTTGTATGAGGACCTAATGATTGTGACAGTTGTATGAGGACCTACTGATTGTATGAGGACCTAATGATTGTGACAGTTGTATGAGGACCTAATGATTGTGACAGTTGTATGAGGACATACTGATTGTGACAGTTGTATGAGGACCTAATGATTGTGACAGTTGTATGAGGACCTAATGATTGTGACAGTTGTATGACGACCTAATGATTGTGACAGTTGTATGAGGACCTAATGATTGTGACAGTTGTATGATGACCTAATGATTGTGACAGTTGTATGACGACCTAATGATTGTGACAGTTGTATGAGGACCTAATGATTGTGACAGTTGTATGAGGACCTACTGATTGTATGAGGACCTAATGATTGTGACAGTTGTATGAGGACCTAATGATTGTGACAGTTGTATGAGGACATACTGATTGTGACAGTTGTATGAGGACCTAATGATTGTGACAGTTGTATGAGGACCTAATGATTGTGACAGTTGTATGACGACCTAATGATTGTGACAGCCGGGGATGTTAGGGACTGGAACAGGTTGTTGTGGATTGAGACGGGGATGTAACTGGAGTTTAGACAACCCTCTCAACGTAGTCAACTCACTGCCTGAGGTTTTCATACGTTTTTAGCAGCCCACCGCCCAACCTGGCCAATGTTGTTCAACCCACCGCCCAACCTGCCCGCCGCCCAACCTGCCCACCGCCCAACCTGCCCGCCGCCCAACCTGCCCGCCGCCCTACCTGCTCGCAGCCCAACCTGCCCACCGCCCAACCTGCCCACCGCCCAACCAGCCCACCGCCCAACCAGCCCGCCGCCCAACCTGCCCGCCGCCCAACCTGCCCGCCGCCCAACCTGCCCGCCGCCCAACCTGCCCGCCGCCCAACCTGCCCGCCGCCCAACCTGCCCACCGCCCAACCTGCCCACCGCCCAACCTGCCCACCGCCCAACCTGCCCACCGCCCAACCTGCCCACCGCCCAACCTGCCCACCGCCCAACCTGGCCAATGTCGTTCAACCCACCACAACAAGACACGTGACTGGAAAAGTAAACGTAACAAGAGCTCAGACGTGCCAGATCTATTTTTACGATTGTCTGACGTAAAAAACATGTGAGAGTTGTCTATCTAGCGACTTTCGGTAGATGTTCAGTGGATTTTAAGCTACTCTTGTCTTACTGAATTGGGCTGTTTTTACTTTATAATTTACTGATACGAATCTTTTATTCTAATGGTCTAGCTCTAGACTCTATGCTTAAACCTTCCCCCCCCCCCCCTTTCTCCTTATGACACAGCAGTATATTTAGAAAACTTGCAGCAAACTGAAATCTGAAGCCTCGTCATGGACTTTCTTATCTACAGATACTTGCATTATTCGTAGACAGCTATCTGGTCTAGATAGGACAGATGAAATAAACTCATCGATTTTTTATCGATGTTGTGTGATAGGTCGAGAGATAGCCCCATATGTGGTGTATCTATCATAGGTCTAGAGATAGCCAAAGCTGTTGTGTATCTATCATAGGTCTAGAGATAGCCCCAGCTGTGGTGTATCTATCATAGGTCTAGAGATAGCCCCAGCTGTTGTGTATCTATCATAGGTCTAGAGATAGCCAAAGCTGTTGTGTATCTATCATAGGTCTAGAGATAGCCAAAGCTGTTGTGTATCTATCATAGGTCTAGAGATAGCCAAAGCTGTTGTGTATCTATCATAGGTCTAGAGATAGCCCCAGCTGTTGTGTATCTATCATAGGTCTAGAGATAGCCAAAGCTGTTGTGTATCTATCATAGGTCTAGAGATAGCCCCAGCTGTGATGTATCTATCGAGAGATAGCCCCAGATGTGGTGTATCTATCTGCCACAGTGTAGATAGTTTGCTACACTCGTTTGCTACAGTTTGCTGATAGGAAATAGCCGGGGGAAATGCGGGAATAGCCGGGGAAAATACGGGAATAGCTAGGGAATAGCTTGGAGAAATAATGTGCAAGAATCAATTCCTCTAATAATGTGCAAGAATCAAGCCCAATAATAATGTGCAAGAATCAAGCCCACTAATGTGCAAGAATCAAGCCCACTAATAATGTGCAAGTACAGCCCACTAATAATGTGCAAGAATCAAGCCCACTGATAATGTGCAAGAATCAAACCCACTGATAATGTACAAGACTCAAGCCCACTGATAATGTGCAAGAATCAAGCCCACTAATAATGTGCAAGAATCAAACCCACTAATAATGTGCAAGAATCAAACCCACTTATAATGTGCAAGAATCAAGCCCACTGATAACGTGCAAGAATCAAGCCCACTAATAATGTGCAAGAATCAAGCCCACTGATAACGTGCAAGAATCAAGCCCACTGATAATGTTCAAGAATCAAGCCCACTAATAATGTGCAAGAATCAAGCCCACTGATAACGTGCAAGAACTTACCGGATGCAGCAGACAGGACCGAAAGACAGGCTAGGACACAGAGGACCTCTACAAGCAGCAGGGTAGGACCCCGTGAGCGAGCAGTTGACGACATGGTGTCTGAGGAAGTTCCACAGCACCGACTGTTTGAGACAGGCTGTTGCCGTTATTTTCTAAGTCAACTCTAGGGTCACGTGACCAGTTATCTGTACTTAAGACGGGGCGGGTGGGCTGGCAGAAAGTTTTTCTATGGGTTACGTCTCTTACACAGACCCGATTGAGACATTGAAAAGGAGCTGATTGGATTCAGCGCCTCGCCGCACTTTTCTACCCGTTATTAAAACGTTTTTTATGAATTTTTTTTTCAGTACTTTACATGTTTTATTTACAATAGAGTTACATGACTAAAAACCATTGCGCGCCTACTGAACATCACGTTCAGTAGGCGCGCAATGGTTTTTGAACGCAGCCATTACGTGATGGCGCAGCTATTGAAGGTGATGACGCGTGTGGTGTGGTTGGCTAGACATGCCTACTAATTCGGTCCAAATTTTTATTAATTCATAAAAAATTAATTAGGCATCCAATTAAGTCAAATTTAGTTTCATATTGCATTGTCTTCATGTCTTGACCCACGTGCCAACTGTGAATCATATCGGTCAAGTAGACCTGTCCGAATTTTCACTCCTACGTTTCTATCTAGACTGACGACAGACTGTCGACAGACAGAGGAAGTGAGTTAAATAAAAGCTTGTAAAAACCAACTTCAACCCCTACTTAAAATCAACCTGAATGGCCAGGGAGAGTAAACCAATGAAAGTCACATCATTTGCTTTCCAAGATAAAATACACAACGGTATTATGGTCTAGTATTGTATTTATATTAAATAAAATAACATCCCCTATCACCACTACACCCTGACTCTAATAATCCAAATACCAATAAAGGTGTTTGCTAAATTATTATTATATTACTAGTAATTATTTCTTTGACTATTTCTAGGCTTAATGAAACCGGAAGTAATTTTGTACTTATTACACAAATGTTATAAAATATTTAATTTTAGTTTAAAAATATGCTTTCTGGCAACAAACATTTGAAACCAGCTTTTCACACCTTAAGCACTAAAAAGGAGGAAATTTTTTTTCATAAAAAACGTTTTAATAACAACCTTTAATGTACTAATGCACTAAAAAGTAGAAAATAAATTATAGACTACTATTAAAATAACTGTAAAGAAAAGCGTGGGTCACTTTAGTATCTATTGGATACCTTTACTAATGTTAAGGAAGACACCCACGCTTTTCTTTATAGTTATTTAAATAGTAGTCTATAATTTATTTTCTACTTTTTAGTGCATTATTACATAAAAGCTTGTTATTAAAACGTTTTTTATGAAAAAAAAATTCAGTACTTTACATGTATTATTTACAATAGAGTAACATTACTAAAAACCATTGCGCGCATGCTGAACGTGATGGCGCAGCCATTGAACGTAATGGCGCAGCTATTGAACGTGATGACGCGTGTGGTGTGGTTGGATAGACATGCCTACTAATTCGGTCCAAATTTTAATTAATTCATAAAAAATTAATTAGGCATCTAATTAAGTCAAATGTAATTTCAGATTGCATTGTCTTCATGTCTTGACCCACGTGCCAAATGTGAATCGTATCGGTCAAGTAGAAGTGGCCGAATTTTCGCTTCGGCGTTTCGATCTAGACATACAGACTGACGACTGACAACAGAGGAAGCGAGTTAAATAAAAGCTTGTAAAAATGATTTTATATAATAATGCTCTACTATTTAAATGTCTATAGACAATTAAATAGCAGTTCATTATAATATAAGAAAAATCACTTATTTTCTACTTTTTAGTGCATTATTACATAAAAGCTTGTTTTTAAAACGTTTGTTATGCTTTTAAAAATTTTGTTTGTATAGCATTTTTTTAAAAATGTGTTATCAGATAAGCCGGTCAAAAGTATTTAAACACGGAAGCTATATTTTAATAGTTTCTTGCGTTCTGTTTTTTTTTTATGATTTTCTGTATGTATATTATTAATTTTGAATAAAATCCTTTTATATCTATTTTTTATTTAAATAATAGTTAAGAGAAGCAATTGCTTTTTAATTTACTTAGTGCAAAAATTTTAATGAGCTTTATTGGCACCCTTATTAGACTATTTAAAGAAGGGCAGTAAGTCATGGCAGTTGTGTGAACATTTGCTTATCTTTCACATTATAGTTCACGTAGGTTTTTAAATATCCTCCACTCAAGAGAGTGTTTGTTTTACTGTGGAACAATCACTGTTAAAGTAGACCTGTTTTGTTTTACAAAACCACTATCAATGTGCACGAAAAACATTATGAAAAAAATGCATTGTTTTATTTTGGTTGGATTGTGGATCCCTTAAACGCCCTGCCTCCCCCGCATCCTCTCCCCCCCCCCCCTGCATTGCGGGGTCTGGCGGCACTGTAGTTCCGCCCCAGCAATTAACAGTGTAATCTGTTTATATATATATATATATATATATATATATATATATATATATATATATATATAATATATATATATATATATATATATATATATATATATATATATATATATATATATATATATATATATATATATATATATATATAACACCCTTCGCTGAAAAAATACTGGCTACGCCACTGTACACTACTATTTAAATACCTTTACTAATATTTAGGAAGAGACCCACGCTTTTATATAACTTGCTTTCTCGTCATGTCTGTGCGGATCGAAACTGTCGAGCGAAATTTCGACCTCTTCTAATCGACCAATTTCTCTGAAACGGCACGTCGTGAGTCAAGACCCGATGACAATGCAATCTGACTTCAAATTTAACTCAAAAGTAAAGTTGCCTTTTAAAACCTGACGGTCTATAGGGCAAGTGAAGTAGAGCTCACTTGTTTCTGTGACCTTGGCAAATGAAGAGATAGTGAGGTCAGCACTATGCCCAGCCGCCTTTACTTGCTCTAATTTTTTTCTCTCCTCGGCTTGACGCCACCGAACATGCTGGCATTTATCGCCAGCTAATGGGAAATTGAACCGTGCCAAAATTAAAAAAATATTTTGGCTCGTGAGAACATAAAAGAGCTGGCAGATGTATAGAAGTGGAGCACCCACCAGACTAGAAGGAGAGAAAGGAACTTTGACGGCAATGCCTGCAACTTGCGTTCTATGCCTGTCTTGTGTTGGTTTAGCGTTCTCTTTCTATTTACTTTATAATCTCTGTATTATAGCCCTGAATACCAGACCTGAAACCTGCAACTTATCAGTTCAACGTGGGCGTAATGGGGTGGGTGGGGGTGGGGGATCTAAATGGTGTCACAGTGACACATCAACCCCAGTGCACATCAGGGGGGGGGGGATCGAATGCTCCAAGCTTGTTATAAGTGTGGTATACAGAGATCAGTGAAGCCGTTGGCTGAGCTCTTGACCAGCTTACTTTTTTAAATAGTTTTAATTTCAACAATAGAACTAGGAAACAATAGAATTAGGCAACAATAGAACTGGGCAACAATAGAACTAGGCAACAATAGAACTGGGCAACAATAGAACTAGGCAACAATAGAACTAGGAAACAATAGAACTGGGCAACAATAGAACTAGGCAACAATAGAACTGGGCAACAATAGAACTAGGCAACAATAGAACTAGGAAACAATAGAACTAGGCAACAATAGAACTAGGCAACAATAGAACTAGGCAACAATAGAATTAGGCAAAAATAGAACTAGGCAACAATAGAACTAGGCAACAATAGAACTAGGCAACAATAGAACTAGGAAACAATAGAACTAGGAAACAATAGAACTAGGCAACAATAGAACTAGGCAACAATCGATCTAGGCAACAATAGAACTAGGCAACAATAGAACTAGGCAACAATAGAACTAGGCAACAATAGAACTAGGCAACATAACTAGACGTTAATTGAACTAGGCAACAATAGAACTAGGCAACATAACTAGACATTAATAGAACTAGGCAACAATAGAACTAGGCAACATAACTAGACAATAATAGAACTAGGAAACAATAGAACTAGGCAACAATAGAACTTGGCAACAATTGGGCTAGCAACATAACTAGACAATGATAGAACTAGGCATTAATAGAACTAGGCAAAAATAGAACTAGGCAAAAATAGAACTAGGCAACAATAGAATTAGGCAACAATATAATTAGGCAACAATAGAACTAGGCCCCGCCTTCACGAAGCTGTTTAACCACTGCACCTCTCCAAACTTGTCGAGGGGCCGTCTATTTATTTGACCTGAAACCATTGGAGCACTTTAAAGTATGTTTTAGTACGCTTTTAAAAAATTTAAAACAGGTTAGTGACAGAGTACAAATGTACACAACATAATCAGGTCCCGCAATTAAAAATAGATTGCAGTCATGCGGAACCAACATTTCCGGTCGAGCGAGCAGGTAGGTGTTGTGGTGAGTTGTTGTTGTGAGGTGTTGTTGTGAGGTGTTGTGGTGAGGTGAGGTGTTGTGGTGAGGTGTTGTGGTGAGGTGTTGTGGTGAGGTGAGGTGTTGTGGTGAGGTGAGGTGTTGTGGTGTGGTATTGTGGTGAGGTGTTGTGGTGAGGTGTTGTGGTGAGGTGTTGTGGTGAGGTGTTGTGGTGAGGTGAGGTGTTGTGGTGAGGTGTTGTGGTGAGGTGTTGTGGTGAGGTGAGGTGTTGTGGTGAGGTGTTGTGGTGAGGTGAGGTGTTGTGGTGAGGTGTTGTGGTGAGGTGTTGTGTTGTTGTGAAGTGTTGTGGTGAGGTGTTGTGGTGAGGTGAGGTGTTGTGGTGAGGTGTTGTGGTGAGGTGTTGTGGTGAGGTGAGGTGTTGTGGTGAGGTGAGGTGTTGTGGTGTGGTATTGTGGTGAGGTGTTGTGGTGAGGTGTTGTGGTGAGGTGTTGTGGTGAGGTGTTGTGGTGAGGTGTTGTGGTGAGGTGTTGTGGTGAGGTGTTGTGGTGAGGTGTTGTGGTGAGGTGAGGTGTTGTGGTGAGGTGTTGTGGTGAGGTGAGGTGTTGTGGTGAGGTGTTGTGTTGTTGTGAAGTGTTGTGGTGAGGTGTTGTGGTGAGGTGAGGTGTTGTGGTGAGTTGTTGTGGTGAGGTGTTGTGGTGAGGTGTTGTGG